TACGATCGCCAAAAATCGCTTAAAGGGTCGTCTACAATGGAGAGTTTTAGACTGTAACAGTAAGAAATTGACAAATCACAATCGATTATTCTTCTGTACTTTGTCTGTGATTGGTCAATTTCTTACTATTACGGCCTACAACTCTTTATTGTAGACGGCTCTTAATACAGTCGTAAACTGTAAGTCGTAAGAAATTGACCAATCACAGATAAATCACAGACGAATAATCGATTGTGATTGGTCAATTTCTTACGACTTACGGCTTACGATTGTATTGTAGAACAGGCCTTACTTCTCTAACATGTCTTTCTATTGGTTCTTTTTATCCGAAGAATGGCGTATGGGCATCTAGGGCCCTCTAGCCAACATCACACCGAACCGAACCTGTTCGACTGTGTAATGTGTGATTAGACCTTTTATTATAGCTGTATTAAATATATGAGAGAATTGTTTATAAAAAATTACGTTAAATTTCAGTTATATACAAATTAAAACATAAATCATTCGAAATTCTTATTAGTGTGAAAATCTATTATTTGATCAATTTTTCAGTACTGACTTTTGCTTTCATTTTTACATCACCAAATAAGATCAGTACGTTTGACAATTTATTTCCTGTACCACGAATTAAAGATCTGGTAAATACACCATGGATGAAGATACTGTTCCCTCCACTTCAAGATCGAGAACTGAAGAAAAGCTCGAGAGAAGAAAAGAATGGAGACGTCAGCAAGAGCTAGAACAGGAACATGAGAGATTGAGAAGACAAAAAATTGAGGAATGGGAAAGAAAACAGGCGCAAGAGCTGGGTAAAAGAAGCCCTAGTGACTCTCCTCCTCCTCGTCACACAGGAAGATCAGGAAGATCACCGGATCAATATCTATCTACCTTCAAAGAGTGAGTCTTAGATAAGTAGCTATGTAAGAAAATGTTCTACTCGATTTTTAATTTAATCATTTATTGATATTTTTGTGTAAAGATAAATACAAATTAGTTTTGATAATACAAATGATGAAAATTTAAAGCCAGCTATGAGAAATAAAAGGTAGAACATTTAATAAGATAATAGAAACGTTTTTTCAAGTATGTTACAAAAAAGTCATACACTTTAGAATTTAGAGACTTATTGTAGCTATGTAATAATAATAATATTAGTAATAACAATATAAAAACATTTTTACATGTGATTACATTTTCTTTTTAGAAATTTAAATAAACTTTCTGGACCTTGGTTTAACGGTCCAAAAGATCAACCCATTAACAGAAAAGAATTACGTCGTATTAAAGTTGATATCCGCAGAAACATTCCTGTGAAAGGACCTATTCCTGAAATAAAACGAGATATACTTAATCCTGATGATGTGGTTATTTCGAGAAGAAATGGTAAATTGTTACATTTATTTGAATTTCTATATAGTTTTTACAGAAGAAGAATTTTCTATATAGTTTTGATTAATATTTAGCAATGCAACAAATAAAGAGGCTAATTACTATATTTGAAGTAGCTTTCGAATTGAATTTATCAGCATGTGTGTTATATCAATTATATAAAATGTAAAATTATCATATCAAGTCAAGATTTCTGTTTCTTAGGCCAATATTCATAATTTATTCTTACATTTAAGATAGTCTTAGACACGCGATCTTAAATATTAGATTTGATTATGATTATTGGTCATTTATTTCTATATGAAGATTTACTTCTATATGAAGATTTTACTTCTATATGAAGATTTATTTATATTTTACTTTCACAAAATAATCATTACCAGGGTTGGGCACGCATTATACGTGAGGTATTTTACATTGTATTATACTTGGTATTGTACAGTATAATACATCGCTTAGTTTTATACATATTATACTTCGTGTGGCGCCATCTCTACATCATGTGTATAGTAAATTTTTAAGTCCAACATCCATGATCCATATTGCTAGAAATCGGTCCGAGATTTTGGTTCGAAAAATGTATAGCCAATCAACTTGCAGTTTTTAAGCGGAAAACAGCAATTTTATTGACTACGTTAGTCAATTGTGATAGAATTTTGATGGTTAAAGAAACATCATTTCAAAACTGCAAGCAAATTGTA